AGAAAGGCCTTTAGTTGCTTAGAAGTTAGCCTGCAGTCCTTTGAAACCTAGTGGACTTTTACACGTCTTGCTTTTAGAGTGATCTTTGTTGGTGGACCACTCCTGGGGAGGGTAACAGTGGTCTTGAATTTCCTCTATTTGTACACAATCTGTCTGACTGTGGATTGGAGGAGTCCAAACTCTTTAGAGATGGCTTTGTAAGCTTTTCCAGCCAGATGAGCAACAATAACTCTTTTTCTGAGGTCCTCAGAGATCTCCTTTGTTCGTTCCATGATTCCCTTCCACAAACATGATCAGACTTTGATCGATCCCTGTTTTTTGAATAAACTGACACCTGATAGTCATCTCACTGATTGAAAACACCTCTGAACAGATGGACTCTAATTTCGCCTTCAAATGAACTGCTAATCCTAGAGATACACATACTTTTGCCACTCACAGACATGTGATATTAGATCATTTTCCAGAATAAATAAATGACAACATATATATTTCCATCTCATTTGTTTGATTGGATTCTCTTTGTCAACTTACAGGACTTGTGTGAAAATCTGATGATGATGGTCATATTTATGCAGAAATATAGAAAATTCTTTCAAGCAGCACTGTATATATTTTTTCTCCCCTGTCTTGTCGGTCAGTTTAAGCACATATGACTTCATGTCCACCAGGTAATGATCAAACTCAGAGTCCAGAATCCCAAAGCAGTCTTGCTCACTCATGTTCCTCCTGAATACAAGAAAAGACTAACTTTAGTTAAAACATCCTGCACTTTATTGTATCCTTATGCAAATCTAGGTATGTATTATTGGCACCATGGCCGGACTTACCGTTGGGCTTGAGTGGGCTGCAGCCCGGGGGCCCCGCCTTTGCCGTTTACGTTTGTTTGATTTGTTCGTTATATGCCAGTCAGAATTCAGAAATTATTAGCCGCATTTTAGAGGTCTGCATTCCCGCGGCTCTTCCGCGGGAACCGCGAGACCCGACCAGATTTTTTGCGCCGCGAGATTAAATTCCCGAATAAAACGCGGTAGCGTTTGGTAACTCTGGTGTAATTTGAACGGGAGCGGGCGGTCTAACAATATCCCGTTCCCGACGTCCATTTAGAACAGCATATCTGCGCTTTATTCTTATTGACCACCAGTA